ACTGTCATAAAAAAATCGGATATGAATCAGATGGGTCAAAAAAAAATCGTATTTGGGTCGGATTTGCCTGCAGTGTGAACGAAGCCTAAGTCTATCTGAATTTGGTCTCTGTCTCTTTAAGAACCTCCTACTGTTCGGACACTACTTTTCAGTTCATTTGTATTGAAATATTACTCTCTATGTTTTTTGGGGGTTTAAAAGAGATACTTTAAGATTTATTGTGAGTTTTGCTCAATGTTTTTCAATTCCAGTCCTTGTGACCCATCATCCTGCATGTTTTCGTTGTGTTCCTTGCTCTTCAGCAGGACTGTAAGTTCTTYAGAAGCTTGTTGATCATTCATTCATTTAAATCAGGTGTGCTGAAGCAGGATTGAGAACCACTGGTTTTCCTAATCTGCACTGCAGCTCTAAGATGAATAGACACCAGGAAAAACGTGACTCTCTGTGTCACTGCTAAAACATATTGCTTAACTTCTCACCGGACCAGTCAATCACTCGATGAATGGGTAACCAAGCAATATTTCTCAACCTCAATGAAATGAAATAGGGAACAAGAGAAGCATTGTCAAAAAAAAAAAAAAAAACAGAAAATAAAAGGAAGCAGAGCTGCTATGAGAACCCAGATGTCCAGGAGCACCAGGCTTGAAACTCAGTGTCAAGAAATATCACCAGTTTGTTGGAAGGGTCATAATAATAAAAAAATGATAATGGAGGCCAGATTATTTAGGTGATTCTTGTGTTTTGGTAATTACTGCCTTTTTCACGGGTTGGAGGGGTCAGTCAGAGAAATGCGTACAGGTGTGTAACCACCTCATCTCTTATGCTTTATCAAAGATTGTTTGACACAATCAGACTTCTGCTCAAGATATGAAAGCTCTGATATGTTTTGCATTTTTTTTTTTTTTAGCGTTCAATCAAATCAGTCTGGCAGAGTTCTAGGGTCCAAAAGTTATTTTTAATGACCATTTTTGGCTGCTTGTTTAATAGCCCTGTTCTGCAGTTTATTAGATTGTTTTATTCCTGAGTGTTGCACCCTATTTGACGCACTGTAAATGCTCTTGGATTCCCCTCCAGATGGTGGCATGTCACTCGTTCAGTGTGGTTATAACAAGATCTTCTCCAGCTTGATTAGATTATGTGCAGCAGTTGGTCAGTTTGTGCTCTTTAACAGTTTATTGCCCTGATACGGTTCCTTAAAAGTAACGTTCCTGGAATTCAAACTCCTTCATTCGCAGTTTTTTTTTCCATCCAGTGTCCTCTGCATCGCCCGCCCGACAAGCGCACACAGCAAATACACTGTAATATCATTATTAGCTGCGTATCAGACAATGTTTTATGCCCCTTAGTGAGATGTTATCGGACATGATCGCTTCCGTAACCCTCAGGGATTCTGAGAAACTCGCTGATGGGACCACGAGAGAGGTCTGACCCGCCGTGGCCTCGATGGGGAGGGGCGAGGAAGGKCGCGAAGGCAAACGAGGAAAAGAGGAGATGTAGGAGATAGTGTTGGAGGCTGATGAGTGTTATATTCTGCAAGAAGAAAAAAGAGGCAAATATTAGAGGAACAGAATCAACATGGTGATGGGAAACTTTACTTTTAACTCATATTAATGAGGTGTGTGTTTAAAAGGTCCGACTTGCAAGGCGTTTAAGGCTCTTATTTAAAAGTTTATACATGTGTCACACATGACTCTTATTTCCAAAGAAGTAATAATTATAGACTGTGTGTATTTTTTCACGTTTACCTCAGTGAACCTCAGCTCTTTTAGTGGAAAGAATCTTGATTATGGCTTTAATTTAGATGCAACTTATGAGGATGTCACTGAAAACCTGAGTGAGCTTGTAAACTGTTCCCCCCACTTGAGTTTAGCAATCAAACTTATGTAAAGAAACGGCTCCTGAACTAGTTTGTCCAGTCTCCACAACTGCACGGTACAGAGCTGAAACACTTGATGCAATTTAAACCAAGTATTT